TTCCTTCCGTGTCCTAAAATCGATACGTATGTGTGCTGCCACAGGGTGAGTAATGTAGGGACAAACATGGAAAAGTTGTCTTGGATATCACAACCCCAGAGTATCAGTTATCATTATGAGGAGATGGGGTAGTATCTTCAACTGAATGCTTCAACATGTGGGGAAGAGTGGGGTTAAAAATGTGACTAAGAATTGTCACTAGATCCTCTTACTAAGTCTGGTTGGTTGAAGTGATTGGGAAATTCAAAACATTGAGGAGGAAAATGAAAATTTTGAAGTATAACTTTAAAAACTAGTTTTAAATGTGTAGTTTAAATAGACTGAACTTGCTTAAGTGGCAACTCATTCAAAAATGATACAGAAAGTTAAGGAATTGTGGGGTTACAAGTCCATGAATTGATACTTTGAAGAGGAAAAGAAAAGCTCTGTAATGGATAAATTCAGGACCGGTGGATGAAAGAGTATTTCCTGGGAGTATCCTGCTGCAGGAGGCATGCCAGCACTCGGTGACCTCTTACTGTATTTATACACAGGGCTCAGAATTAGTAGTAATTAAGGCTTGTGTTTAGAATGCCCTTTGTGAAAGCGTCATTCCTGGTTTGTGGTTGTCTGTATGCTGAAGCTGAGGAGTTCCTTCTCCGCAATGGAGCCTTTTGAGCAGTGCAAATTGCAAATAATTGTAGAACAAGAGAAAATTACTGTTTAGGACAAAATAATAGCCTAGGTTACAGTATATATTTTAAATGCACACAGGACTGTGATCAAATAAAAGCTTTACTGGCATTCAGGATGACCTTGAAAACTATCTGTAATTTTACTGCTCGTGAGTAATGAAACCATCTGAAATAAAGCTTGTTTAATATTAATGCAGCACCTGCACACAACTGAATAGCCAATGCCTGTCTCATCCAAAAAGTGAATAATACTTACAAGGGATTTAAACTAAAGCATAGTTGAGCTTTATGTTGGGAATTGCAGGGCTTTAGTCCTCCATGTTTCTGCTTGTGCCAGTATAATGATTGGGTAAGTGGTAATTGTACAGAGATTGGGACAGCCAGGACGAAACCAAAGTCACAGTGCTCATCTGACCAGACAGGGAGGTGCAATGCTCCCTTCCAGGCTGGTGAAAGAATTGGCTTAAAATGCAGGTCTCTTAATAAAGAGTCCTCATGAACTGTGAATTCCAGGGCTGGCACATCCTTCTTGAAGAACTGGTGTAGCATGTGTGTCCAAAAGGCAAGGGACACCATCAGTCTCATCTCGGCACTGTGCCCTTTGAAAAGGATTTTGAAGGTGAGGGTAATTAAGACAGAGGAAATGGAAAGAAGGTTAAACTGTAACATGGCTTTTGTCCACAGTTCACATCTGAATTTCTTGATGAAGTGGTGGATGTCTTGGAGTACTGTGATACAATGGATGTGCTGCGACAGAGCCTTTGGATATGCTGTCCTGGTGGAAATTACTGAAGGTCAAAATGAGAGCAGTTTAACTGAGAATAGGGAGATTGATAAGAATCCTGATGAAAATGGAATGGGTTATATTGGGAGGGGGTAAGAGGGGGGGTTCAGAATGGAAAGATTCCTCAGAGTTTAGAAAGATAATGTTCAACATCCTCATCAGTCATTTTGCTGTAAGAACAAACTATTTACCTACAAAACTTGCAAGTGTGGCAAATTGTTACTTTTGCTGTGGCCTCGATGGTCGTATGGGAAGAATGAAATAATGCTGTAGAATGAATGGTGGTGACATTTATGAGCACAGTGTGCAAAGTCAAGCAGACACAGCAATATTGTTGGTATTGTGCTAAGCTGGGACAGAGGGACTGGTGATTTTCTGAGAGAAAGGAAAGCCACTTGATGTGTTCTGTGTTGGTTGTAACCTGCTGGTGTGCAGAGAGCTAATGTGATTGTTACATCTTTTGGGAAGACCTTTTCAATACACACAGAGAAGCAATTGTGTTATAGTTCTGTGGATGTTTGTGATCTTAAATTATAGCAGGCACTTCAATTTGTCTCTTTTTGTCCTTCTGCCAGCAGTGCTGGTGGGAGAGTAAGAGGCATTGGATGAAGCAAAAGAGGTGCTGACTGGGTTTAAGGAGGAAGTTCTTCAGTATGAAGACAGTCGTGTGTTAGAACAGGTTGACAAAGAGGTGGTGCAGCCTCCATCCATGGGGATTTTTGAGGTTGGACTGGACAAATCCCTGAGCAACCTCCTCTGACTTCGTAGCTAACTCTGCTCTGTCTGGGTCCCTTCCTACCCAGGTGATTCTGAGTCTTTAAAGATGGGTAGGATGGCTAGGGGAATGAGCAAAATAAACTAAGGGTTGTAGCTTCATTAAGCAGAAGGGAAGTTGAAAGCAGCTCTGAATTTTATTCCTGTGAATACCTTAGAAGGAGGGAGGAATGGGTGAATATCAAAGATGCAAAATAATACCAAAAGAAGGTCAAGATCAAAGGACTAGAGGTTGGTTGTAAATAACACTCGGAGGGGAAACTAGAAACTTTCTTCTCAGAGGACTGAAATTGTGGAAGAAGCCTCTGGACAGTGTTCCAAGAGGTGAGAAAATATGTACAGGTTGCAGATGGGCCTGTGCAGGGTGGTGAAAGGAATTACTTGATGAAACAGAGATGTAATGTGCTAGAATTCAGTCCAGCTATTCTGAAGGATTGGGAAGGTCTCTGGTTTTGTGCCCCCTCCCCAATTACATACACAATTTGATGTTCAGTTTGGTTTCTCTCTGTAGCATCAGAGGTTGGCCACAACTTGAGAGCAGGTACACTGCTGCTGCTTCTCATGCTGTCAACAGTTCTGCCTTCTCACATGGTGGCACGTGATAGTGTATTTGGTCCTCTACACTAGCTCTTCTGTTAAATACAGGATGTGAAGATGGTACTTTGTGGGTTTGCTCACCCCAAAGGTGATTGGCTTTGCAGAGCACCACAGTTGGTGCTATTGGCCTGGCTCAGACTTTGTTTTCTATGGGATATATATATATATCTTATGAAAAGTATGTATTGAAATTTGTACTTAAGTGGGTGCCAATAACAAACAATTCTAAGTGTGAGTAAAGAAGCTTTTCATTCAAGTGAGAAAAGCCTAAACATGTGACATCAGATGTTGCTGCTTCTCCAAAAACTTCTGCAAAAATTGGAAGGGGAAGAAAGGCAGTTTGTAAAACAAACAAAACCCTCCCAAAACCTGTGGGATTTACTTGAAAGTAAATAGGGATTTAAGCTCAAAATGGTGGAATGTACCATTTAACTAAAGCAACACGTGTTATAGATTCTTCCTTAGGCAGTCAAATGTAGTGAATATGGAGAGCGAAAACTACAGGAGATGGCGTTTTCACACTGGTGTAACTGATAATCAGCACTTGGTAGGAAGTTAAGGCAGAAGAGGTAGAAAACTCCTTCATCCGTTTTCTGCCCCTTCACAGTGAAAAGCCAGACAGTGTTTTCATCCATGGGTATTTTTGCGTACTTCAACATCAAGTAAAAGTCTCTGATCTGAGTAATTGTTTGTTGTCTCTTTTTAAAGGAAGAAAGAATTGCAAAGTACTGAATGAAATGAATCTAAAGATAGAGAAAAATAAGAGAAAAATGGGTCCTACTACTGTGAAGTTCTCAGTACATTCTTGAGAGACGTTAAGTGAGACTTGTAACAATATTGGGTCGAACTGTTTGGAAATGAGTGTCTAAAACAGTGCAAATGAATCATCTTCACAAGCGATAAATGAGGATTTTTCCAATGAGGCCAAAGCTGACAAAATGGGATATTATAAATAAGGGATTTTGCCCTTAAGCTTGCTAAAAGAAGTGGAAGAGGTGAGAGCTGAGCTAAACTGTGCCAGCCTCATTCATGTATAATGATGACTGAGGTATCACCTGCAGAGAGAGCTCGTGTTTGTGTTTTCTGCTCTGGGTCTTGGCTCTGTACAGTAGCACTGAATTGAAGGTTGCCAGTGCCTACTGCTTCCCAGCAGGCTCCAACCGTGTGCTGGGATAATTGTAGCAGGATGGTTTAATGTGTGCAACCTGGGGTCCCACTCTTCATCTCTTATACTGGAGGCACACAGCATACTGACTAAGAACAGAATCATAACATGTACTTGAAGCTGTGCGCTATCTAGAGGGAAAGGGAAGATTAAGAGTACCAACAGGCTGTTTCTATGACAATATTAGTTTTAAGTGCGAGAATAAGAAAGAATGGAAATGTGACTTTGAGCCTGTTCCTGCAGCAAGCAGGCTGTGCCTTCCCCAGGTCAGTGCCAACCCAACAACCAGGTCTGTGCAAACTGTGCAGGGAGAGCTGATAATCACCATGGAAAGTGAGAGTGAGGTGATTCTTCCTCCTGTCCTATCTTTGTCCTGTTTCCCCCCCACTTGTTTTGTTCTGTTGCCTTTACTGAACCCTTTGCTTACACCAGTAATGGTGGACAGGGTATTTCTGCTTCAAGATTTGACATTTCCCTGTTGTGAGAAGTTGTGCAAAACACTGGTGGCTTGGCCTTGGCAGGAAGGCATCTCCTGAGTGAGTACTAGAGGACATCTATGTTCCGCTGCAGGGGAATCAGGAGCTCTTACAGAATATGGTTCAAACTGTATTTATTCAGATGTACCAGGCAGATTTTTGCCACTTGTGTGCTATGTGCTCCTTAAGTAGAGCAGCAACCTGGAGAAGTGAGCAGAGGTTACGTGTGTGTCTCCTCCCGGTTTTGAGGACTCAAAAGACTTCTCTTTTGTTATGGACATTTGATTTGCTTGTTTCTAAAAAGACTCTTGTTTTTAAACTGGTACTTTTCTTACTGGTTTTATTTGCCTTCACAGCAGCTACGTTTAGCATTATGGTATCAAATGTTAAGATTTTTAATGAGTTGGAGAGCAGCTTAATGTTTTTAAAACTACATTCATGAATCTTGACTTGGGCTTCAAAGCTTTGGGGTCATCTTCAGAACACCTCTAACTTACTACTCTTTTACCTGCTTTATTTCCTATTTGCAGGCCTTCCCAGGTTAAGCAGCCAGCCCGAAGCCTCGTCTGTCTCTAAAGGAAGCAGTGCAATCCTGAACTGTGAAGTGAACGCTGACCTTGTGCCGTTTGTGAGGTGGGAGCAGGAGCGGCAGCCAGTCCTCCTGGATGAGCGTGTGTTTAAGCTGCCGAGCGGAGCTCTCATCATCAGCAATGCTACTGACATGGATAGAGGCCTCTATCGCTGCGTCATTGAGAGCGGGGGAACCCCCAAGTACAGTGATGAAGCAGAGCTCAAAGTTCTGCCAGGTATTCACCTGTTTTTCTTTTTAAAATGAATAATTAAAACATAAGTCAAGGGCTGAAGGAGGCCCCCTCTGCTCTTGTGAGACTCTACTTGCAGCACCGCATGCAGTTCTGGTGCCCTCAACATAAGAAGGACGTGGAGCTGTTGGAGCAAGTCCAGAGGAGGCCATGAGGATGATGAGGGGCTGGAGCAGCTCCCCTGTCAAGACAGGCTTGGGAAAATTTGGGCTGTTCAGCCTGGAGAAGAGAAGCTGCGTG